CACACACACACACACACACACACACACACACACACACACACACACACACACACACACACACAGAAAGGGGCTAGGATCATGCTGCAAACGCACTTGTAGAGTGTTGTGAGCCGTATGAGCTCCTTTACATGAATCAGGAATGTCTTTGCATGCCTCCAGTGGTTGAACTCCTTCACCCAGTTCCAGGCTTCTGTTCCTCTGGCCAGCTCCTCCACATCTGGCCTCACCACTGCCACTCGATACCTGTTTTGCACACACACGCACACACACACACACACACACACACACACACACACACACACACACACACACACAGAGGGTCAAACCATTTGTTTCAATGCTGAATAAATTCATCAGGGTGGAAAGGAGCTGTGATGGTGAGATTTGGCATGTAGAAGGAACTAACATTGAGCAGACTGCATCGGATTTGAGTCTACTCATCTGGATGGAAAAGGAGTTGTTATACTGACAATTTACAACACACACACACACACACACACACACACACACACACACACACACACACACACACACACACACACACGAGAGCACATAGACACACCATCAGGATGATCATACCGATGGAGACTCAAACAGCCACGTTATTTCATTTACTGTATTAGTATCATTCATGTGATAATAACAAAAACAACACCGAAGACTCATACTTAAGAAACGTGGCATACATCCCGTGCTGCTTCTCCCATAACTTCTTGTGCTTGACAAGAAAACGCCACCGTGCACCTTCCACAGCTGCAACTAGACACCTTTCACGAAACGGCAAACTATGACTCAGAGACTTACATTACATATTGTCACGTATCTATCGGGTTTCAAGTTTCAAGTTTCAAGTACAAGAGCTCACTTTGTGAAACAAATGAAAAAAATGGTCGACAACATGAACCACACCGAAGCCATTAGCCATAGAGAACTGTCAGGTGAACCGTAGTCAGAAAGGCAGAAAGGCAGAAAGACAGAAAAAGACAAGGAACGGAGTGCCGTGACCAGCTGTTTCGTCGGATTTTCACTGAGTCACCAGAAGGTTGAAGCCTCAACAGTCTGCAGAGTTTCCTAACCAATGTTAGTGTAAGAAATAATCCACCGGCCAGGTCTCCTTGCCTATATATCATCAAACAGAGCTGCCCGGTAAACCGTCAGCAGAGAGGGAGACGAGGACAACAAACGAGGGGCTGTGACAAAGTGTTTCGTCGGAGTTTCACCCCGACTCATCAGGAGGCTGAACCATCAACAGTCTGCAGAATCCCCTAACTGATTACACTGTAAGTGATAATCCGCCTTACCCGGTCGTGGTTAAGCATGAACGACTGCCCGACAACTGATACCCTGAGGTGGGCACCAACCACTGCCCTCAAGGTACCTGTGACGAAAATCAAAGCAGACTGTCACTCACCCACACCAGATGGCAAAAACTCATCATATATATCGTCAAACAGAGCTGGCGTAGGCAGAGATGGAGAAGAGGACAACAGACGAGGGGCTGCGTATGACTATATATATAGTCAAACAGAGCTGCCCGGTAAACCGTAGGCCGAGAGGGAGATATAGTCAAACACAGCTGCCTACGGTAAGCCGTAGGCAGAGAGGGAGCGAGAAGAGGACAACGAATGAGGGGCTGTGGCAAACTGTTTCGTCGGAGTTTCACCGACGAAACAGTTTGTCACAGCCCCTCGTTTGTTGTCGTCTTCTCCCTTTCTGCCTACGGTTTAGCGGGCAGCTCTGTTTGACGATATATAGGGTTCAGCCTCCTGATGAGTCGGTGAAACTCCGACGAAACAGTTTGTCACAGCCCCTCGTTTGTTGTCCTCTTCTCCCTCTCTGCCTACAGTTTATATATTGTCACAGAACTATTGACTAAGAGCGTAAGTACGTGAAGTAGAAGAAGAAATAAGATGAGCGAAGAAAAGAAAAATGAAAGTACAGACAGGCAAAGAGACAGACAAACCAGAATGACACAAAACAGTGTCTTCTTATTCTTTGTTTCACAGTATTATTATTTCTTTCAGTGTTTTTAAAAAAAAAAAACAAAAAAAAAAACACTGAATTAAAGGATGAAAATAAAAAACAAAGACACATCGTCACATGAATATCATAGCACAAAAGCGAAAAAAAGAAAGAAAACAAGGAAAAATCATTCGTTTTTTTAATCTTCTTTCTTACAACTCCCCCTGTTCAGAACCTCTTGTGCACAAGGCCGCCCACGTGGATGTAGGTTGAGCGGCGGCTGCCCCCACCCCCGTGTGTCATATCGACCCACTTGCACACAGGCAAAGGGCAAAGAGGCAAAGAAAAGAGGAAGGGAACAGCCAAATACAACAAAACAGGGGGCAATAAGCAACAACACAAACCGGATCCTAGCTGACAAGTCCCACATGCAAACACTGCCCCACCTACAAAGGCCAAACGACGGGACAAGACCACCCAGGACAAAACACTCTTGTCTGCAAAAAAAGAAATCCCAGTTACATATCTATACACAGCAGATGGCCTTGTTCGGCATCAAGAAGTTGGTATTCCAATGTCGACTGAAACACTGGGACACCGCCAACGGCAAAAAAATATATATAAAGACACTATATAGCGTCACATAAATATCAGAGCGCAAAAGCGAAAAAAACAAAGAAAAACAAAAAAGATCTCAATTCATTTTTTATCTTCTTCCTTACAACTCCCCCTGTTCAGAACCTCTTGCGTACAAGGCCGCCCACGTGGATGTAGGTTGAGCGGCGGCTGCCCCCACCCCTGTGTGTCATATCGACCCACTTGCACACAGCCAAAAGGCAAAGAGGCAAAGAAGAGAGGAAGGGAACAGCCAAATAAAACAGAACAGGGGGCAACAAAACAGATGCCAGATGACAAGTCCCCCATGCAAGCACCACCCTTGCACCACAGGCCAAACGACGGGACACAAGACCAACCAGGATGTCAAAACATTCTTGTCTGCAAAAAAATCAAAAGAAGCTCCGATCCACAGTGCGATGATCCACAGTGTGACAACCAAAGAGAAAGAAAAGACAATCCCGGATGACGATTCCCACATAAAAGCACCGCCCACCTCTTCAATAGGCCGAACAACGGGAAACAACCAACTCGGATGCCAAAAAGATAAAAAAAGAGCCCGGATGACTGGTCCCACATGAAAGCACCGCTACGCCCGCCGAAATAGACCGAATACCGGGCTGCTACGGTTTTCTCTAGTCAGATTGACCGGCAGTGGTCAGGGCTGTCACTACACGGCCATGGTGTGCCTCTAGTCCCAGCAGCGTGTCTGTAGAGTGTATTTTACTATTTTCTACCTGTGGCAGACGTTTCTTTGTTTCGTGGGGGGTTCCTGGCTTCTGATGGGGTGTGAAGCTACCGACAGTTTGTAGATTCATCTGTCTGGTATCTTCTTTGATTTTCGTCACAGGTACCCTTGAGGGCAGTGGTTGGAGGTCCCCACCTCCTTGGAGGAGTATCAATTGTCAAGTTGTCGACGCTGAACCACAACCGAGGTTTAGGCGGACTATCACTTCAGAGTAACACATGTAAAAAGGCAGATGCCACGTAGACATCGCAGTTCTACATTGCGGTGAGGAGGGCGGGGGAGGGGGGGAGGGACCAGGAAGGTTGCGTGGGAAGCAAATTAGACGAACAAACATCCACAAAAGATGGAGGACCAGACAGTAAGGCCTGTATCTAGTCCAGATACAGACCGCCTGCTGACAAGCAGATGGACAGATACATAGATAAACCGATTAGGCAGATATGGCTATCTGTCTGTCTGCACTATAGATCATCTGTGTCTGGTCACGGTGTGTATGTATTGAGAGTCTGTAGACCCTCTCCAGATCAGCAGGCAGCCAGGCAGCCAGACAGCCAGACATGTCTATCTGTGAGTGACAGACAGACAGATAGACCATGACAGACAGACAGACAGACAGACAGATATGTCTCTGTGTTAGAATTAAGATGATAGATATGTCTATCTGTTACAGTCGATAAATATGTCTATCTGATACAGATGATACGATAGATATCTGTATGTGTTACAGAAAAGTACGATAGATACGTCTCTATCTCTCTTACAGATAAATAAGTTTATCGGTCACAGATAAATACATATACGTCTATCTGTTTCTACCTATTTTACACTTTTCCTTGCAGAGTTCACTTCCTCTCTCTCTCTCTCTCTCTCTCTCTCTCTCTCTCTCTCTCTCTCTCTCTCTCTCTCTCTCTCTCTCTCTCTCTCTCTCTCTCTTTCTGTGCGTGTGTGTGTGTGTGTCTTTTGCAGAGTGCACTCACCCTTTCTTCACAAACGAGTTGAATTTCAGCAATGCCAGTGTTGGCGAGTATACGACCACACAGGCATGCGGATGAACCTTCAGAACACTTTCGATAGTCCTCCGATTGCGAATGGAGAAACCAGAAGCTGGGGTGACCCATGCAGAAAACACTCTGATGGAACAGGAGGCATTCATCATAAACGCGCCCATGAATTCCACAAAGCTTTTGTTTCCTTCAATACCAGGGTAGTTTCCCACCTCCTCTCCAGTCCTATTCAAATCCAAAATCTTATCTCCAGACCCCCCCCAAAACTGATTACCCCCCCCTGAAAACCCCTCTTCTGAAAACCCTTCCTCCGTCGAGATCGCAGTCAACAGCCCACTCCTCTTGTCCTCTGACGACACAAACTTCCTGATCGCTGCAGCAACCACCCTGTCTGTCTTCGTAAACCCAGGAATCCATTCTTGCACCTTCTTCTCATTCATCACCGATCCTCCTCCTCCTCCTCCTCCTCCTACTCCTCCTCCTACTCCTACTCCTCCTCCTCCTCCTCCTCCTCCTCCTACTCCTACTCCTACTACTCCTCCATTTCCCCCAGGAGGTAGAGGGTTTTCTATATCGCTATCTGGATCCTGAAGAAGCGCCATCGTTCTCGTGCCATCCGTCCTTGTAATGATGTCATCAATCGTTCCATTCATGTCCGGGTCATTAAGGATCTCGACACTCACATCAAGATCATCCTTGGCCTCTCCCTCTCGCTCCTTCTCCTCTCCCTCTTCTTCCTCCTCCATCGTTTCTATTCCCAACAACTGGTTCATAATCTTCGTCTGATTCCATCCGGCGCCGAAACCAAAGACACCTGACACTTTGGAAGCATAGCCCCTCAGGCTGAGGTTAGCCATGGTGGTCCCCACCGCATTGCGCAACGTGAAAAGGCCCAGCTTTCTGTTCCTAGGGTCAAATCCGTGCAACCCTTCTTTATTTCCTGCCTCTCCCTGTAACAGCCCTCCAAGTCCCTCAGCCAAGAATGTCCCCTCTTTTCCGCTTGTCCCCGCACGTGTCCCCGTGGTCCCGCTGGTCCCGAGGGTCCCAAGGGTCCCCCCGGCACCAGCAGGTAGACGGCCATGGAGATGATGAAGGTTTGGAGCCCCAAGTCCCGCATCAGGATTGTCAGCAGCAATCAGCCAATTATCACCGGTACCAGAGGAATCGAGTTTACCCAGGTAGAAAACGACAATGGCTAGAACCATGAACATACTGCTGAATATTCCACATGTTTCGAGGGCACATCCGAAATTGCGATGCTGGCGGCCACGTGTCAGATGTGCAGGCCGTCTCCGCGAAGAGGGGTCCCATTTGACTGCCGCCATGTCACCCTTCTTTACTGCACAGAATCACGGGGTCGTGTGGGGCCCGGGGGGGGGGATTTGGGGGGGGGAGGGTTTTTATTTTTTTATTTTTTTATTTTTTTATTTTTTTTTGGGGGGGGGGAGTCGGGGGGTTGGGGGGAGGTTATATCGCAGTTGTCCTGTTCCTCCCAAACCCGATAAGCATGTAATCATCAAGGGGAAGGGGAGGGGCGATAATTGACTGGCCCATGATCATCAAGGAGGGGGGGGGAAAGAGGGGGGGATAAGTGGGCGGGTATCCCATAAGCCCATAATCATCACAAGGGGAGAACAAGAACACATCCAAACCCAACACTTCAGCGAGCGCCACGTGTCAATCCCAATGACGACGATTAGGATAAGGTAGCAGGAGAGAGAGACCTTGACGCTTCCGAAGTGATCAGGTAAAGCAGGAGAGCGACACGTGTCAGTGGCTCATCATTCCACGTGTCATCCACTGTTGTCGGAATCTGATCTGATGGCTGTGACCACTGTTGTCGGGATCTGATGGCTGGTGACCACTGTCGTCGGGATCTGATGGCTGGTGACCGCGACTGCTTGTCTAGCTCCGGTTGTCGGGATCTGATGGCTGTGACCACTGTCGTCGGAATCGGATGGTTGTTGAAGTAAATCCAACGCGGCTCGCTGGTCTCTGTCCTTACACGGCAGGAGTGATCATAAACCTTGTTATTTTATTTTATTTTATTTATTTATTATCATTAAATTTAAATCAAGCACGTGCAATCCAGTCCTTCGTCACAGGAATCGAAATCTGCAAGCAGCACCACCAACAGCAGAGCAGAAAATACGCCCAAGAAAAATGGGATGTTTTTAAGAAATTAGTATTTTTAAAATATTTTCAAAAAACTGAAACAAGACGCCCCAGGGCGGATCTGCGCGGTGTACCCAAAACAAAAAAGGGAATTTTGCACCAAAATTTGAAAAATAAAATAAAATGAAAATTCAACAAAAATTGAAAAAAAAAACAAAAAACAATGGAGTTTGGAGCGCACAAACAAAATCAGGTGAGCTTCGTAAGAAAGACTGAAATGGAGAAAAGATTTTGAGTGTGGAGCGCACCGAGAAAAAAATCTGAAGAATTTTGTACCAGAAATTGAGAAAGAAAAAAAAAAGAAAGAATCAAGTGCGGATCGCAACCGAAAGAAATCAGGTGGATTTTGTAGCAAAATTAGAGAAAACAAAAAGATCTGACTGCGGAGTGCAAAAAAAAAAAAAAAAAAAAAAAAAAAAAAANAAAAAAAAAAAAAAAAAAAAAAAAAAAAAAAAGATGTTGTAAGTATACCTTTCTCGACATTTTGGCTAAGATCAAGTGTGGTGGTATGTATCTGTTCTGATCAGTTTAATATCTGTTTTTTTTTTTTTTCCTCTCAATTCTAACTGGCTTCTGCCATGTCATGGAACATATATATTTTTTTATCTTTCAGTTTAAAATATCCGATCCGTGGTCCATCGGGCCACATAATATTAGGAAAAAAAAAAAAAAAAAAAAAAGCTCAATTTGGTACCCCAAATTTAAGCGAGTGTGGCACCCACAAAAAGAATAGATGAACTTTTTTTTTCCAAAAATTGAGGAAAAAAAAACGACTGTGGAGCGCATCCTGAGTAATTTACACCGGGGGCGAGGTCCCACTAGCAAAGAGGATCGGATCGAAGGCCTGAATCTGGACGAGTTTGTGGAGATGTGCAGGAAATCGAGATTGAGCTGCTTTTCTGCATCTGTGCTTACGCCACGTCCAGATTCAGGATCTCAATCCAATCCTCTTTGCTAATGGGACCTCGCCCCGGGGGCGTGGGACGGGTCTTTTTTTTTCCTGACAATATATCTTCATTTCTCGCCTTCAATAGTGATGAAGATCGACGGTCAAGGAATTAAAATTAAAAATTAAAAAAAAGATCGACGGTCAGAAAGAAAAAAAAAAGCGCGCGTGGGACCCAGCCCCGTATCAGACAAACAAATTTAAATATCATACCATAGGGGAAAATAGGGAAAAATACTTTATATAAGTGAATGATTATTAACAAGCTTAAGTAATCTTATCATCATTAGTATTAATTAATGTTGTATTTTATTTTAAAAAATTAAAAAAAAAAAGATCGACAGCCACAAAGGAAAAACGCTCGCAAATGGCACCCGGGGCCAAGTCCCACTTACGCTGATCCTTGATTTCTGGTCGTTGATCTTCCAAATCTGCGGTCAAAAATCGATCATTCGGGTAACTGGGACTTGGCCCCCGGACACCAATCCCGAAAAATAAATACAGTAAATAACATCCCATAGGAAAAATAGGGCAAATATTCAAATAGTAAGGGAATGATTATTAATTTACTATGATCATATATTTTTAAATTAAAAAATAATATATCGACAGCCAGACATGAAAAAAAAATGCGCGCAAGTTCGACCCGGCCCCAGAAATAAAAGGTGCTCAGGAATTAAATAAAAAGACAAGAGGACTGCTCCAAAATGTTTAAAATTGAAATGACAAAATCATTCAATATAGGAAAAAGAGGGAAAATGAGTCAATGAGGCTGCAGATAAATTATTATTACATAAATTTACATGAATTTACATTTATCTGTAATAATAATTTCGTTATGCCTACTCTTGTCATCGTCATCACTATTACTATTTCATTTTTCTATTTATATATTCTACTTATATTATCTCATTATATATTACCAAGACAAGATGCTAACCCGTGACACAGATGAGAGAGCGGACGGGAAGCAGCAACCTAGGAGAGAGTTGCCCTCTCTCTCTCTCTCTCTCTCTCTCTCTCTCTCTCTCTCTCTCTCTCTCTCTCTCTCTCTCGATCCCGATCCGACGAAACCATTTGTTTCCCCACCCCCCCCTTCCCCCGTTTCTTGTCCAGTTTCATACTGTCATACAGAATGGATACATTCAGCCTCTACTGATTGATGAGTAGGTAGGTGAAACTCCGACGACGAAACAGTTTGTCACAGCCCCTCCCTCGTTTGTTTGTTCTCTTCTCCTTCTCCCTCCCTCTCTGCCCCTGCGCTTTACCGTAGGCAGCTCTGTTTTTTGACGATATATACATATATCGTCACACAGTGTATCGGAGCGCAAAGGCGAAAAAGGACCAAACAAAACACAAAAAAAAGGAAAAAGGAAAAGAGGTAAGGAAGGTTGGAAAGCTCCGCGGCGCCTGTTCAGCACCTCTTCCGTACAAGGCCGGCCACGTGGTATATATATTATAATATATTGTCACATATATATCTATATATATCGTCATAGAGAACTGCCCGGTGAACGGTAGGCACAGAGGGAGAAGAGGACAGCAAACTAGGGGCTCGTGACCGACTGTTTAGGTGCTATGATGACCTCAACCCTGCATGTTTTCGATGCAAGAATGAACACACCTGCATATTTTCCGTTTCTTTTACCTCGCCACTCTTATTCTTCTTGCTTGCTCTCCTTGTTTGTCATCATTGTTCTTTTAGTCAACCGTCATTGCAGCCATGCAAAGGAGCACAGGAGAGTGTCGCAAAATCGCCGGTGCCATGCGCGTTTCTCTCTCTCTCTCTCTCTCTCTCTCTCTCTCTCTCTCTCTCTCTCTCTCTCTCTCTCTCTCTCTCTCTCTCTCTCT